ATTGATATACTCATACTTTTAACACACATGATAATGCTCTTATTTTCTTTAGTTAAGTGACATTATTCTCATTATTCATTGTTAACATAATTTAAGGGAAAAACTGTAATTTTATTATCTTTTATCAATTAAAGCAACATTTTGGCCGGATAAATGACATTTTAGTCCTTATAAAAATAATATAATTTTTATGCATTTTTTACATATAAAATGCCACTACGTAAGCTTCCATGTGGCTTTTCTTAATCTAATACAGCAAACTTTGTTGACAATATGAGAAAGTAATTAATAGTAGGGAGCTTTGAAAAATAAAATTAAAAGTTAGGGAGAGTTAATTTTAAACATTTAAAAGTGAAAGAATTGTATGCAAGTATATCAATGTTTATGGAGGGTTTTATACATTTAAGCCATAAGATTTTTCTTAAAAAAATTAAAAAAGAATCCTAGGAACTAAGACGGTGATTTTTTCCCCCCTTACCAATGACAAAAAACACGTAGTCAATTATCGCTAATTCCTCCATATTTATTTTATCAATCTACAAGTTTATTATTGAAACTGAATATTATAATGATTAAAGGTAATAACTACTTTGTTTTGATCGGGCGAATGATTTAAAAAAAAAAATACTTAGCCAGTGACTACTAATTATTTCTCGAAGTTTATTTTATCCATTGAATGACTATAATTGAATTCAACTCTTTTTGCGGGCAAGTCAATTTCCTACTTAATTAAGAAAATTGATGGCAAGTAAATTGACGTGTTCCAACTTAGGCATATGTCAGAAGATTGTCCGTAAGTCAATTTCGAAAATGTGGAAATTCTTAAATTATTTGTACGTGGTCCATATTGCATTAAATAACACAATTGAATGTACACCTATGAGAACCTCTTATGCTTGAGTAATAATATTGTGGTCATTTTCTTCCATTATCCATTGAATGACTATAATTGTTAATTAAGGTAATAATTCAGCGAACCAAAAAATGTCAGTGATTGATAACTAGTTTCTCCAACTTCTGTAATCAATTTATAAGTTTATTAATCTCTGGTGTTGGAATGAATATAATGCAATGTTTAAATACATATAAATTTGGATTTAAGTCAAATTCATTATTTGAGTAATTAAAAATGTATGGATCTAAATCCAAATCCAAGTTGAAGATGAGAATCTAAAAGCAAAAGGTGATCAAGTTGCTACCTCTTGTTGCCACATTATTTGAGGAATTGAGGCAGCTCAAGCCAGATTATTTTAAGAGTCCTTTAGCTCTCACCACTTTGTTATCTTCTAGGGAAATAACTAAAATGACTCCTTAGATCATTCCAAGACCTTTACTTACAGAAATGGAAATTGCAGCTGAGGCAATTGGGCTTATATATTGAGAAACCACTAGCTCCTTCTGACATATGCAAGCCTGTTAAGCTTGAAAAACAACCCCTTGATGATGAGAAAAAGGAGGAGAAGGAATCAGATAAGCCTAAGCCTACTGTGGTTATTTAAGAAGTTGCTAAGAAAGGGAAATCAAATAAGGGAAAGAAGCATGCTGTTTAAAAATCTAAGGCTATGAAACCAAGTGTGAAAGCTCCTAAGCCTTCAGTCTCTGCCTCTCATACCCAACCTCTATCTCTTGGAGCTCATTTCAAACATTTTATGGATAGCCTAGCTTCCATTAAAACCTCTCAAAAATAAACCTTGTTCTTTGCTTCTAGCCCTGCTTCTTTTTGAACTTTGAACAATGTCATTAGTGTTTGTTCTTTGTTGTTTCCTTATATATTTTGTGCTAACTCTCGTTTGATTATCTATGTATACAGTGCATTTTTCAGACTATTCTCTCTTTTATCCAATGTTTGGATTATTTTTATTGCCTGTTTAATGGGGAGATTGCAAAATCTTTCTCAAAATTAACAAGTTGCATCCAGTTTTGTGATTATCAAAAAGAAACAGAAATGTTGATCCTCGGTTTTGATAATAACAAATTAAAGAAGATTTTGCTTAACATGTTAAATTATGTCTGAGGAAAGGGAAGTTAAGGTATAAATGAGCTTGAATACATTAGACTCTGATTTTCATTTTTATGAAGTATCATTGCCGGTATTTTTAAGATATTACCGGTACTAATATGAACTATGTTCAATCTAAAGCCTTTGATTCTTAGTTTCTCAATGAGTAATGTTTTATAAAAATACTAAGATTCCTTTAAAGCCTTATTTTGTTCATTTCTTAACTCTTTGGGAAGAAAAGACTTTTACTAGTATCATCGATCTTCACAATGAATTCATATTACTTTGGGTACTAGACCCTTTCTACCAGTAGTAAATACTAAGTGAGAATTTTTGTCTTAATTCTTGACACTACCCATATTGGTATGTTACTATCAACACTTTTTGTCTTTACCCATAGTATTTTCTCTCTACCAGTATTATTTCACATGTTTCATTCTTAGTATCTCCATTGGTATTCTTGTCACACTACCGGCCGATAATGTATCCTCAATCCTGGTATTCTTCAAATACTTTCGGTATTGCGTGACTTATAAACTAACGTCTCTTAGTGTTCAACACTACCGATTCTATATTAGCTCTACCCGTATTCTTGTGATACTACCTGTATTGTTCTTACTTTTTATTCTCATATTTGTTCATGGCACTACCGGTATTAACAACATTACTACCGATACTAAAGCCAATTGCGTGGCGTTGTTTTTTGTATTCACCTTTGTAAGCTTCGATTCAAGGTTTTATTTGTTCTTTTCCATTTTAGTAAGTTGTGTCAGCCTTTTTGTTCATTTAGAAGCTTTCTAAACACAACTTTAAGAAAATTTAGACACTTGTTAAATCTTAATCTTTCCTCCCTATCCGTATTGCATTTTGCTCTAACGGTATTCTTTTACTTACCTTTTGTCAAAGCATTAAATACATATAGATATTAATTTCTTGACCTGCCATGAGTGCAAAACTCTGTCGAAAAGTGTTATGCAAACACCATACCTTTTGAAGAAGCTTAGACTAAAAATGCAGAATCTAATGGCTAGTTAGATGTATATAACAGATTAATTATCGACTTCAACTATAAATAGGCATCTTTATGAAGACAAACATAGAAAAATTATTGGACGAACTTAAGCATTCAATTCATTACCTACCTTATGTGATTACATTTTTTATATTTGCACTTCATTGATTGTAAATTAACTTTTAAAGAGAGTATTTGCTGTAGTTGTTGAATATAACTTGTTCATCCTTGTTTTTCATTTTTGAAGTAGAGGAGTTAAGATCAGATAGCTTAAGTTGGTTATATCATTACCTTTGTGAAAGAGAGTGATACAAACTTCTAGTCTTTATACTTATCTTTAATACTGACTACCTTTCCAACAACCATTGAAAGACATTGAACAATACAATTTTTTTTTTTGTATTGAGTATAATAATCTATGAATGTAGATAGATTTAATTTCAATAATGTATATTTAAATTAAATTATTTTCATATTCATATTTTAATTATTTAATCATATACTTTTAAAAGTTATTTATTAATAGAAGTAAACTCTTACGAGTTTACGATTTGAGTCTACGTTTTGAGTTATATCCTTATCATGAATTTATTTAAACTCATGAGTTTAACAATCTTGATTATTATCATTATTATTTTTATTATTCCTAATTCTTTTTCTGACATTTTTACCTAATTGGAAAATTATCATATTATTAATTATATTGCCTCTATTAAAAAAAGTGCCAAGAGTTGAACGACTAATGGTTAGGATAACGACTACTTTCTTTTAGCAAAATGAAAAATATATATATATATATATATATTTAGCCAGTGACAACTATTTTAATTTCTCCAAATCTATTTTATCAGTCTACTTAAGTTTAGTGATCCCTAGTGCCGAATGATTATAATTTTTAAGGTAACAACTACTTTATTTCAACGAATAACCAAAAACACCAAGCGTATATTCGGTTTTCAGTTTGTTAAAGTCCGTTTAGTGAATGGCAAAAAACGCCTAATAAAAATACACTGATAAAATGACTAATTTATTAAAACAACAATACGTGCTGAAATGATAAAAATATTGGAAATAATTAAAATAACTGCAGCAAATTTTATTCCATAAACTTGTGAATAGTTTACATCACCATTCATGAGGCATGCTACTTCGAGGAGAGGGCCAGAAGTTGCAAAACAGATAACAATTTAGGATAATCAAAACGAGAAACATCTTATAACACAAGGTGGACAGAAGAAGTAGTAGATAATAATTAAGGATAAGCTTCAATGATTGACCTATAACCAAAACAAGGAGTAATCTTGTAATGTTTGAAGCCTGCAGCAACAAGAAGCTTCTTCCATTCTTTCTCAGTTCTTTCTTTGCCATTGACCATACTCATCATCATAACATCAAACAAGAGTTTCAAATTGAATAGTGTCATGTCATTGTCGCCTTTCCTCCTTACTTTGTGATTGCCTCCTTACATTTGTTCAGTATCTTCAAAGAGTGTTCATCATCCCAACAATGTAACATCCTTAATGTAACAGCCCTCCGCTCACCCCGCCTCCCCGAGGTCTTTTGCGAAGCTGGACACTCTCCCCCCAGGCCCACAACAGGGCGACCCCACACCTTACGGTGAGCATTAGGAGACAAAGGCTTCCCCGCAGTAGTGTGCAGGATTATTCCCCTTGCGGAGAGCCTCCCCAGGTTCGATCCTCCAACCTCTTCTACATAACAAAGTTGAGGCTGAACCTAGTACCATTGAACCACGTGACTCAATGGTACCAGGTTCAGCCTCAACTTTGTTATGTAGGAGAGGTTGGAGGATCGAACCTGGGGAGGCTCTCCGCAAGGGGAATAATCCTGCACACTACTGCGGGGAAGCCTTTGTCTCCTAATGCTCACCGTAAGGGGTGGGGTCGCCCTGTTGTGGGGCCTGGGGGGAGAGTGTTCAGCGCCGCAAAAGACCTCGGGGAGGCGGGATGAGCGGAGGGCTGTTACATTAAAAGGTGCCTGCACAAAATCATTACCAACACCAAATGTTCTCCCTTTTCAAAAATTCATTAAAATATTCAATAACAACATTAATAATAAGAAATCTAAAACCTAAAGCAATAGTATATAAATAAAGGAATTAAGTAAATGATTGGTAGAGATTTAACATATGTGGTTTAATTTGGTCGGCTCAATATAGATTAGTTGGGACTTGAATCAACATTTAGAAGCTATTGATATTAATAAAACGAGATGACAAACATACTTAGTTTTATATAATTAATGGATATTTTTATCCAATCAAATCAAAATAAGTAAGTTTTAAAATGTTAAAAATCTTAATAATAAGAGTTTTGTTATAGACTAAATAATTTTTTAACTTGCCTTCAATAGTACAGCATCGGCAGAAGGTATGTATTCAAACATGTCGCCACCAAAATAACTCAAGTTATTGCTTCCTGAACAATTTTCCACAACATGTGGACGATCAAAAACTATGCATTTCAGATGAGGATATGCTTCAGAGATGATTTTGCATGTGGTGCCTGTGCCGCCTCCAACATCAACTATGGATTCCAATCCTTGAAAGATCGATTTAGAGTCTTTAAGTATGACACTAATCATTCGTGAATCACTCGCCATGGCTTCATTGGGAGACTTCAATCTTTGAGAATCTCTTTCAAAAATTTCCCAAATGGTTGCCCCAAGGGCAATCTCAGTTACCGTCTCCCTCTGTTTGAACCAGCTTCCCAAAAAATCAAACGGATCTAAGAAACTAGGGTCGACAAACGATAACACCATTGGTGCCAGGTTTGGTTCCATGCATTTGATGAGTAGTTTAGAAGAAATGAGAGTGTATACCTCCATTTCTTCATCTTGCTCGTGCACTTTGGTTTTTGGTAAGAAGCCATTGTGCACCAAGAAGCGAACAAGCCTCTCTACAAAGGCAGTTTTGGTTGGTTGAATTTCTAGTTTGGAGATCAATTGAGGAATAGTGATGGGTTGGCCATGCTTGTAGATTATGTCTGGGATATCTAGCTGAACAAAACACTTGAGAACTATGCCATTAATGTGGCTAAAAATGTAGCTGTACAAGTGAGCTTGAGCTTTAAAGCACTCACTTTCTGGGACGGCTTCAATGGAATCTATAACTATATGGTGATTTCTTTGATTTTGAAGAGCTCTTTCTCATAAATCTATATGCTTAATTTGCAGTTTGAGCTTGAAAGAACTCACTTGGGTGTTGCTTTGATTATATAGAAAGCTCTTGTTTATATAGAGTAAATTAGAGCTGGTAGTTCGGGAAAACCATCAAACTCAATTTAGATTTGGCTTATTCAAATTAGGGTTAAGCATGATTTGAACAGTGGGGTCTCTCATATTTACTACCTAGAAGTGCATAGAAGAAAACAGACTTTCAAAGAATTAAATTTCATCCACAAAGTTTCGAACTAGATAATGATTAGTTAGGAATTCAACTATATTTGCTGGCAAGTCAATTTCGAACATTATTAAGTAGATTGCAGGCAAGTAAATTGACCTGTTCCAACTTAAACATATGTCAGAAGATTGTCCGCAATTCAATTTCGAAAATATGGAAATTAATAAGTAACACTATAAAATGTAGATTGCTGGCAAGTAATCTGTCCGCAGTTCATACTGCATTAAATAACACTATAAAATGTACACCTATGAGAGCCTCTTATGCTTGAGTAATAATATTGTGGTCATTTTCTTACATTAATTATTCGTGAGGGTATACGTATAGATGGGACTAAGTTAAGATCTCGCTCAGAAATTGGCCTGATTTACATGTTAAGTTTGTTGAATCCTCCCGGAACTTAGGTCAGTGAGAGAACAATTGATAAAATAAATGACCACTATATGTATCTAGGAATTAACTTGGTGCAATTAAAAAGGGCAAGACTTTTGTACTAAGCTTTATATACTTAATATACTTTTATCTAATCAAATTAAGATATGTGGACTTTAACATGTTAATACTATTAATAACAAGAAGTTTTTAAAGAATAAATAATTTATAAAAGATACACATGTCTTAATTTTATTGGAAACAAGCACCTTAAATACACATTCTAATAATTTTAAATCGAATTTTTACTTTTTTTTTAAATTAAAAGTATGGTATTTTACAAAATTCAGTGAATCAATATTAAAAGAATGTATAAGAAAAAATAAAAAGTACCGGGTAAATTTAAAATATATCATTGATTTTTACTGTATAAATTATATTTTGTGTATAATAATTAACTTGGAGTGGTACCCCGTCTTACTGTGAGTTCAACATCTTGGTCTAATTTATCGACAAAGTTTCAAATGGGTAAAACAGATTAATTTAATGAAACTGACAAAAGAAAAGGCCGCAAAAATTAGGGCTAGAAGAAATTAAAGAAGATCAAGAAAGAAACTTTTAAAAACAAATTTGGGCACAGAAAACGGGAAGGCACCTAATCAATTCGCCATCGCCCGGGTTTTTTAACGATGTTAAGATATATAATATTTATTACACTCTAATAATATTAAATTAATTTTTTTAATTATTTTGTTTAAAATTAAAAGTTTCAGTTTTAATCACTTTTATTTGGTATTAATTCACAAAACTTTATTTTATTTTATTATCTATTAGTTATTTTTTCTTTGAAAACGGGAAATTTCTACGTAATTTGTATGTAGTTCATATTGCATTAAATAAAAAATATGGAATGTTACCAACTGACTTTTATCTCTGTGGTCCAAATGCTGGCAGCTAGCAAAAAAAATATAATAATAATAATAATAATACTATGGAATGTAAACTTCTGAGAACCACTTATGTTTGTGTGTCATTTTCTCACATTAAGTTAGTTGCCGGGGTGTCTTGGTGGGACTTGAGTCCAGTTTTGATCACTGTTTAGTTGTGGGGGTATTCACACAGGTGGGCCCATTCTATCCTCAAGCCGTCGGTATAAAAGCAGGAAAAAAATTATTAAAATAATGACAGAGAGATCCTCAATTCAAATTAAATCCTAAAATTTAAATATTAAATTTTAAAAATTTATAAGTTCAACTTTTATTTTTTTTAAAAAAATTTTATTTATTCTTTAACCATGTTAAAATTTAAAAATTAAGTTGTGAACTCATCACAACAAAATTACAAAATTTAAAAAAGAAATTGTACATTTGTGAAGTTTGGCATTTGAGATTTAATTTAAACTAATTAATCCTTTAAAAATTTATCAGTTATTCTCCCAATATTATTTGATCACTTGTACAAGTATTTCAATAGTTTAGGATAATTCTTCCTTTTTAAATTAGGCATGCGATTTTAATTTCTGTAATTTGGCCAATGTTGGTTTTTGATTCATTTTGGCCAACTTAACTTGTAAGGTATGACTTGACCAATTTTTCTTGTAAATAGTTTACGAAATAGGCATGTTCGGACGATTAGAATTGTATATATATATTTTTTTAAATAGTGATCATATTTTTATTGAAAAATAATGTTGAAATACATGTATAGTTGTTGGCCAACCCATTTTCACTACCTTTTAAAAGGTCCAGCCTTCAGACATGATTGAGTGGGCCTAATGTGGGGTTTCCTTGAGTTGGGTCCTGGCATTCTCGGTTTTCGGCCCATAACATGGTTTTTAGTTTAAACATGCGGGAAAGGAAAGGGGGAAAAAGAAGAATCGCGCTAAAGCCTTAAAAAAGTAAAAAATTACACTGCTGACTCAATAGATTCTGTTATTGTACTGTAAGTCCAAGAACCCTTGTTGTAATTTTTTTTTTTTTGTGATTGAAAGTAAAATTTTGACTTTTTATGATTTGAAAACTCGCATTATACACAACATAATATTCATTGATATACAATATAATGTTTATAAATATATAATATAATATTCATGCGTGTCTAATTGATTAGTGGATTTAATAAAATATACAAGTGAATTAGATAATATATAACATAATATTCATGGATGTATAATATAATATTCATGCATTTTTAACTAAATGTTCATGCATGAATACACATGGATATTGTGTTGAGAATTCATAAACATTGTATTGTGTATCTATAAATATCGTGTTGTATATTCATTGATATTTTATTGTACATACTCTATGTGATATATATTTTAACTTATAGATCAATTGGACATGCATGAATATCATATTGTGCATTCATATACACTGTATTATGTATCCATAGATATTGTGTTATATATTATTTGAGTTTTCAAATAACATAAGGGCAAAATTATACTTTTGCTTTCAAAAAAAATTGCAACAAAAACCTTTGGGCATGCAGTGTAATAATAGAATGAATTGGGCCTGTAGTGTAAATTTTTTCCTTTTTAAAGCTCTTAATGTGATTCTCCCATAAAAATAAAGGGAAAGGAAAATCCAAAAACTATGTCATGAAAAAAGAGGTGCATGTGGTTCAAGTATGATATCTATCATCATTATATATAATTTTTTTATAAGGTCTTAGTTTTGTGGATATTTAGTTAAACATACAATTTATAAGATAACTAAATTTTTTATTTAATCATTATTTGAATAAATTCTAAAACTTAGTAATTTCATTTCACATAAAAAATCTTATTTTTCACTATAATTATATATATATATATATATGGGAGAATGGCAGTTAGGTCCCTTATATTGAATTAATAATAGTTAAGTATACGATAAATGTTTTTAAAAACTAAGTTGAAAATATTGATCTAAATAAATTACAAATTTAAAAGTTTAAATTGTAAATATATATATTTAATATCAAATGTAACTATTAGATTGTAACAGAAAATTTTATTTTTAATTATTTGAATTGATAATCATAATTCTTTTTTATAAAATTTTGCTGGGGATATATTTGTTATTAATTCAATCTTTTGGAACCTAACTGTAATTCTTCCTATAAATATTAAAGGGTTTATTTGTTTTGTCAAAAAAATTAATAAATTTATTGAAATTATTCCCATTATTATTTAAGAATAAATTCAAATATACCAAATATTGTGTCAAAAAATTGATATTAGTTTATCATATTCAAAGACTATGATTATATATGCTTTCATTAATTTATATTAGATTTAAATTAATAGCTGGTTTGTAGGATTAAGTCGTTGTTTCTTCAGATACAACACACTTTATTTTCAACTTCTCCCTTTCTCATTTGTAAATTTTAGTTTTTAACTCTCAATAAAAGAAGTGTGCAAATAATGTAGCTGAAAATGTGTTTGTACAAGTGAGCTTGAACTTGAAAGAATTCACCAGCTGGGTTGGCTTCAATTGAACACATAACTACTCAACGATTTCTTTTGTTTATCGCTTCGGTTGGCAGTTTGATCCTAAAAGAACTCACTTGGATGTTGTTGCTTATATATATAAAGAGCAGAATGACCAAGAAAATTCAAATATTTAACTAGTTGTGTGAGAAAGTTACACACATACACACACACACACACACATATTTTAATTCTTTAATTCCTGCTGGGTCCATTGCTTTAATTTGTTTGTTAGTATACTTTTCCTTGATGGATTTTCTTTTCATTATTGACTTCTAGATAGTTTTGGATACAGATCCAGTGCAGTGGTAGGGGTGCAGTAGTTGGGAAGCGGAGAATCCTGACCATGAGTTTTTGTCTAATGGCTAGGAAGAGAGAGGTATATAAAAAAGTTTCTCATCTGCAAAGCACACAATCACTTTCTTCACAATAGTTTCTTCTCAATAGTTGGCTGATTATGGTTTAGAGGTTTTTCAGGCAGGAAGAGGACTCAGCTTTTAAAAATTCTAAGGCTACATGGAAATTGGCGATTGTTCATCATACAATCAGGTGTGCTGGGCATCATGGAAATACACAAGAACTTGAGGCGCAACTTGTCCCAATCCATGAGGTAATTTAATATTAATTTTTTTGTTAGAAATGTAATCATATTTTAATTATACTGCAAACATAATTCAATTCTTCAATAGTTATTGAAGAATTTGATCACAACACTAACCATTAAATTTATCCATCGCTTAATCTATTGCTAACGAAATAAAATAAAAATATAAACATTTCTTATAATTGTAGAGACGAAATTAGAAACAGCCATACGTCCGTCTCTACCCACATAAAAATGTGTCTCCAATGTTGTCTCTGAATCAATTTTCGTTTGGTATGATGGAAGAGTTTTTAATGAAATCAGAATCGGAATCGGAATTGGAATCGAAATTGGAATCAAAATAGAATTGAGTTTTAAAAGTGTGTTTGGTATGAAGATGGAATTATAATATAATATTAATTTATATAGGTACTTAAAATAGGAAAAGACTACATTGCCCTTTTTTTAAATTAAAAAGACCTATCTTATTATAAATGGACAAAAAAGATGAGGATAGTGGGGTCCACAAATTGAATTCAAGAGAATTGAAGCAATTTCATGGTCAATATGATGGAATTAAATTCTAACATTTTTGATGGAATTGGGATTCTTAAGAATTACAATTCTTGCATATCAATCATGCTTAAATTAGGATTCCATCTTTGATTCTATTTCCACCTTGCCAATTCAATACTACCAAACATGGCCTTAAGAAAAAAAAAATTAAGAGTTAGCGATAGAATTGGAGATGATGAGCTTAACCACAATGTACTTACCATGTCTAAATGCTTCTCCAACCTTTTAATTTTTTAAAAATTAAATTTTCAACTTATAGAGATGTCATTCGAGGCGTTCTTAATTAGAGACGACTTCTTTTTGGGGTGCATATTAATTATCCACATCCAAAGCCCTCATTATGATTTTAATTATTTTTCTCTGTTAAAATGGTCTTGATTTTCATACTCTGTCAATAATGTTGTCTCAAGAAGAGATTGATTTAAAGGTTAATATACAATTTAAACTTGAACTATAAGTTCAAGGGTAATTTGAATCTTAAATTTTTAAAATGTATATTTTGAATCTTAAATAATTAAAGTTGGTGCAACTCCTCCCGATTAAATTTAAACAAATGTCCATTAAAATAGGGCCTAATATATAATTTTCACAAACAAATATATTTCTTTTTTCAAAGTAAATTTATGAGTATTTTTCTATTTTTCCTTTCCAATGTAATGAGGGTATAATAGTCTATTTATTAAAAAAATATGCTGACAACATCTTATATTTAGGAATAAAAAAGATTTTAGAACATTTTTTATACATATAGGGACGGAGGGAGTAACTCATCATGGATCAAATTCTTTTATTTAATTTTCATTTATACTTGGATGACATACCAAGTCTATTCAAACTTAAAACATAGGTCGTAGAAGATTGTTGGTAAGTCAATTAAGACAATGTTGAAATTTCTACATAATTTGCACATACTTCATATTGCCTTAAATAGCATTATGCATGGAATGTAGACCAATGAGAACCTCTCATGCTGTTAACCCTGTTTTTTTAGTATAACTAAGCTTCTAAGTGCAGCCTTGTAAAAATGAGGTTAAACTCGAGTGGCTCATTTAGACCTTTTTTTTTTTTGGTTTCACCTTTAAAAAATAAAATAGTTTCAATTTGAGATTTAAATTCTCTAAAATTAATATTTACGAGTTTATGTGAAATTTTCTTTTTTTAGTATTTTTTCTGATTTTATTATTTTTTGTAAAACATAAATCATTTTTCCTTTTTATTAAAAAGACAAACTTCATGAAATTTGCAAATTCTTAATTTCATAAGATTTAAATCCGAGGATTTCATATAAGCACACATACTCTTGATTCTTTTTCAGTGTTTATCACTCTTTGGTTGAATGGCATTTATTACCGTGATTCTTTTATTTTCCAGCATAATGTCATTATCAGAATGCCTATAATTATGATTACTGACTTATCTACAATCTTGTTTTGATCACGCAATTATTATTAGGAGGAATGGTTCTCACAACGAATATTTATCTAAGTCGCTCCAGGTCCCAGCGAATCACCCTGAATTGCTCTCTTCTCAACATGAGAATATGCATATGTAGGATCCTCCTGGAAACAACTCGCAAGAATCTATGAAACTCAACACTACGGTGATAAATTAATAATTTAATAATTTTTTGTAGTGACTGTATAAATTATATTTTTGATCCTTGTTAATTGTGAGTTTAACATGTTGGACTTAGCTTAATGAAACAGAAAGAAAAAGGCACAAGAAGTAGGCCAAGAAAAACTTTCAAATTGCATGTTTGGTATTAATTCACCATCAGTTTTTTTCCCCAACGCTGAGGTGTGTAATCATTAATCATTTTTTCAAATTTCATATAATATGAAATAATATACTTGCTCCAAACCACAATATAGGATATTTTTTTAGAAACCTTCCCTAATCCAAAATATAGGATATTAGATAACTTTTATAATTATTTTTTCAACTATACCTTTACTTCATTTATTACTCTTTTTTTTTAAATTACACATTTAGAATTTTGATTAACAATGCGCAAATTATTTTTTACCAGAATTAATAGTACATTCTTAAATCATAAAAAAATTGCAAATAATTAAAAGAACTGAAGCAAATTTTATTCCCTTAAACTTCTGATATATCTTACATCATCACCATCAGTAATTGAAGCTTGGCTACTTACTACAGCAACAACATAAGCACTTAAAAAAAAAAAAGTAAAATTTTAAAAGGATAATTCTCTTCCGAGAAGTTTTAAACCAGATAATGATTAAGGATAAGCTTCAATAATGGACCTAAAACCAAAAAGAGGAGTAATCTTGTAATGTTTGAAGCTGCAGCTTCTAGAAGCTTCTTCCATTCTTTCTCAGTTCTTTCTTTCCCATTGAGAGTACTCATCATCGAAATGTCAAACAAGAGTTTCACTTGCGTCATGCTATCGTCATCTTCCTTCTCCTTTATCACTGCATCAATGATTATAACTTTCCCTCCTTTGCCTTTCTTTGTAATTGCCTCCTTACAATTGTTCAATATCTTCATAGAACTTTCATCATCCCAATTATGTAATATCCACTGCATACAAAATCAACAACACCAAATGTTACATCCCTTTTAAATTATTTAATTAAATAATCAATACAACAATATTGATCATATGAAATCTAAATCTTTAGCAATATTATGTGTGTGTGGGTGTGTAAAGAAGGGAATTTAATTAAGTAAATGATTGGAAAGAGCTTTAACCTATGTGATTCAATTCCATCTGCTCCATATAGATTAGATAGAAACCGTTGGTATTAATAAGATTATGGTTCTTTTTTATGCTTTAACTTTTCATATATATGGGTGTTCTAAACTTGAATTTGGATCATTTTTATCCTTTAACTGTTAAAGTTCGACAACATGTTATCTTGCCATTCATGCACTGCATTTCACGCATCCATGCGACATCTAAGTGAACATGACTTAAAACATTTTTGGTTAGGTTTTTTAAGGTTTAAGGGAGGAAATGACCCAAAAAATAAAGTTTAGATTAGAACATATGTTCCTAAATGAATACTTCGAGGATAAAAGTGACCCCAGCAAATTCTAATCGCACATCCACTTGGATGCCACATGAAACAAAAAAGTCCACAAAAAGTGTCCAATTCAATAGATAACGGTCAACAAGTGCCATGTGGATAGCAACACAATGATGCTTTCAATTTTGAGAATTTAATGGCAAAAATGACCCAAAATTTAATTTATGACACCTATTGTAAACCTTACGCAAAAAGTTTAAGGACAAAAATAATCCTTAATTCAATTTAATATATTGTTATGTAATCAAATTAGAATAACTTGCCTTTAAAAGAACCGCACCAGCAAAAGGGATGGATTCAAACATGCTGCCACCAACAAAACTCAAGTTGTTGCTTCCTGAACAGTTTTCAACTAACTTGTGGAAGATCAAACACTATGCATTTCAGATTAGGGTATGCTTCAGAGATGATTCTACATGTGGTGCCTGTGCCGCCTCCTACATCAACTATGGATTCCAATCCTTTGAAGATTGATTTAAAGTCTTTAAGAACCATGGTGATCATCTGTGAATCACTCACCATGGCTTCATTAAAAGACTTCAATCTCAAAGGATCATGTTCAAGTATTTCCCACATGCCTACCCCAAAGGCAATCTCAGCTATCGTCTTATTGTTCCCTTTGAACCAGCTTGCTAGAAAATCAAACACAGCCATGAAACCAGTCTCGACCAACCCTACTATTGGTGCCAGGTTTGATTCCATGCCTTTGACAAGTAATTTAGAAGGAGTAAGAGTGTACGCCTCATTTTCTTCTTCTTCTTCATTGATCACTTTGGTTTCTAATAAGAAGCCATTGTGCACCAAGAAGCGAACAAGCCTCTCCACACAGGCAGTTTTGGTTGGGTGAACTTCTAGTTTGGAGATCAATTGAGGAATAGCAATGGGTTGGCCATGGTTGTGGATTATGTCTAGGTTATCCAACTGAACAGCACATTTGAGAACTGTGCCATTAATGTGACTATAAATGTATCTGTACAAGTGAGCTTCAGCTTTAAAGTACTCACTTTCTGGGATGGATTCAATGGAATGCATAATTGTATGGTGATTTGTTTGATTTTGGTGAGCTCTTTCTCCTTAATCTATTTGCTCAGTTTGCAGTTTGAGCTTGAAAGAACTCACTTGGGTGTTGTTTCAGTAAGGCAGAAAGCTCATGCTTATATAGAGCAGACTGAAAAAGAAAATTCAAATGTTTGATTAGTTGTGTACAAAATAAAGTTGTACTTTTTTATTATACTTTTTTTTGATGACTTTTATATTCATTATTGACTCCTTGTTTGTTTCTATGTCCCCGCTAAGAGCATTCAGAGTAAGAAAAGTTGCATTTTTGTAGTGCTTCCATCACTTATATTAATCCTTATCCCCCTCCTCCTCGTTTTTCTCTAACAATGTACTTTAATCCTTTTATATATGAATAACTTACATTATTATTTTTAATTTCATTGCTAATTATCATGTTTTGAAATTTCGATCGAACGTACAATTTTTATTTTACATTTCTACATTTTAAAATTATTTTTACTAGAATTTTAAATGGTGCATATTTAAAAAGTCATTGTAAAATTTAATGAATTAAGAAAATAGGACTTGAGAGCCCACTTAGATTAAGATAAAAGAGGATTATATATAGATAAGACAATCGATATCAATATCATCAATATAAACTATAAAAGTTGTAATAAATCATATTGTTTATAAGCTTTTAATAATGTGATTAACCTCAAAGTTTGCTTTATATATAGGAAATTATGTCTAATTATAATAAACTAGAATATTACTCAAACTACCATATGCACGAAATTCAGTTAATTGTTAATATTAAAAGAATGTATAAAGAAAAAACAAAGTACAGGTAGTAAATTATATTTTGAGTAGAACAATTAATTTGGACAACGAGCCTGTCTTATTGTGAGTTGTGAGTTGTGAGTTTAACATGTCATAATTCATCAACATATTTTCAAAAGGATAAAACAGATCAGTTTAATGAACAAAGAAAAAGCCACAAAAATTAGGGCAATAAAAAAATTTAAAAAGATCAAGACGGAGTATTTTTAAAAACAAGTCTGGGTGAAGAAAATGGAAAGAAACCTACAAATTTGAAATTCCATATTTGGTTTTAACTTTTAATTCGCCATCAGTTTTTCTTTAAAAAAAAAAATACTATGATATGTAATACGCATTAAATTCTAATAATTTTAAATCAAATTTTTACTTTTTTTAAAATTAAAAGTATGGTTTTTTATTTTTATAAAAAAAAAACTAATCTTCTGGTCTTTCGAGTTTTCCTCAATTTTCAATTTGATCCATGTAATTTATTTTGTTTTAATTACGTTTTTATAATTTAATCGATTAGATATGTCAATTCCTATAGATTAATATTCATGAAAATTTCTTTAAAAAATGAAATTAATAATTTTTATATTATTATTATTATCAAAAGATTATATAACTTTAGAATTAATTATATAATTTTTATAATACAAAATTTATATAATTAAGTCATGTCTTCTAAATATTATATATATATATATATTTTTTTTTTTTCAAGAAAAATATTATAAAAATAAACAGATTGCCTTAAATCAATTTTTTCTTTTTATGGCCAAAAGTGTTAAATAAAAATTTCTTTTTAAATAAGAATTAAATAAATTTTTTTATAAATTTTTAAATATTTTTGTTTTGAAAAGGTCAATAATTTAGCATTAATTTTAACATTTAGGGACTAATATATTTAACTAATCATAAGGATTTGATTAAAAAATAAACTATAGCCTACTGCTGGGACCTAAGTCAAAATTGAAAAGAATTATAAGAACTTGCAAATTAATTTTTCCTTTTATTAATTACTTTTATTTTTTATTAATACAAAAAATTATTTTATTTTATTTTCTATTAATTATTTTTTGTTATATATGCATTATCCGTTAACTTTTTAACGCAGCCAGGAGATAAAGAATGAATACTTTTCAATTCATTTTGCCCAAAACAAACAAAGAAATACTTTTCAATCCATCCAGATACTTTTGTAATTTGCACGTTTCTCATGTTGTATTAAATGGCACAATGAAATGTTGAAGGCCTCTAACTCTAACAACCTCTTGTGCTTGATTGAGACTTGTCAGTATTTTGTAAAATTTATAAAATTTTTTGATCATAAATTTACTTTTGTGAGATTTGAATGTAATTTTTTTAATTTTAAATTTGAAACTTATCAAAAAAAATTGATATCAGTTTATCATATACTTTTCCTTAGTGGCTTAGCTTTTAGCTTTTGTTTTTACAATACTTTTCCTTGGTGGCTTAATTTTCTGTTCATTGTTGACCCCCACGAGAGCCTCAAGAATAAGAAAAGTTGCACTTTTGTATTGCTTCCACAACACATTAATACTTTTATTAATCCTTATAATCCCCCCATGTTTTCTCTAGCAAAGAACTTTAATCCTTTGATAAAAGTGGATTATAGAAATCTGTATAAGTAAAAAATATCAATATAAATTATAGAATTTCTAGTAAGTCATAATGTTAGTAAGTGTTGACAGTGTAATTAACCTCAAACTTTGCTTTTTATGTAGAAAATTATATCTAATTATATTAAACTAGAATATTACTCATACCATGCACAAAATTCAGCGAATTAATTAATGGAAAAATAATGCATAAAGAAAAATAAAAAAGTACCGCGGTACGTAATATGTCATTTATTTTTTCTGTATAATTCATATTTTGATCCGTGTTATGTGAGTTTAACATGTTAGACTAATTTATCAACATAGTTTCAAATGGATACAACAGATTAGTTTAAGGGAGAGTGACATTTAAGGCCCTCTTAAAAAAATTTATTGCAACAAAAGTCCATTAGTTTTGCATTGAATATTATTTTGTAAAAACATGTACATGTTAAAATCTGAACCTTGTTAAATTTTTTAAAAATAATATATACATGTTTTTACAATATAATATTGGATGCAAAATTGATGAACTCTTATTGCGATAAATTTTCTTGGGAGGGCTTTTAATGTTATTCTCCCTTAGTTTGGGAAATGAAACAGAAAGAAAAAGCCACAAAAATTAGGCCTACAAAAATTTTAAAGAAAATCAAGAAGGAATTTTTTTTAAAAAAATGCGCAGAAAACGGTAAGACACCTACAAATTTTAAATTGCATGTTTGGTATATTAATTCGCCATCGGTTTCTTTTTTTTTTTACAATGATAACCGGTGTAATATTTATTACATTATTATAATATTTAGTTAAATTTTGAATTATTTTGTTTAAAATTAAGGGTATCATTTTTAGTTTATATTACTCAATTTTATTTGGTATTAATTCAGAAAGCTTTCTTTTATTGTATTTTCTATTAACTTTTTTTTTGTTATATACTCCTCTAGTCCTATATATATGGCAAAGAGATAAGAAAAAAATTTAATTCTATTTATAAGACACTTGTCAATTTTCAATGCTCCTCTTTACATTTTTTTTTCTTATTACATGCTTCAAATAAAAATATCAGCAATGAAATTTAAGAATATTTATTAGAAGGTAAATGTGAAAACTTATTAAATTTTAATACAAAGTTGATAAAGTTTAAGATTTTTCTTAATTCTGATAAAATATATTGAAAGTAATTTATAAATAGAATCAGAAAAAGTATACATAATCCATAATTGCTTATTAAGATGGTTTGGAGATAAAGAATGAAAACTTTTCAATCCAGATACTTCGACTAACATAATGTGAAAGGTGTTAGGTCTATATACTGGAAAGAGTTAATCTCTCACAACATAATAAATTAAGGTTTGATTTCTTATTGGGAGAAATGCCACATTGTTAATATACAACCATATCTCAAACATGATTGCCCACTAATGTAGGCAATAAAAAAGGGAGTTTTCTATTCATAGTTTCAGAATTCAGTATTGAGTGAAGGCTTTCTCCACATATACCATGGCTCGCTAAACTTCCTCTATTCACAGTTTCACACTAGAGCGTAGTAGGCATATCTTCCAGCGGATTATAAAGAGCCTAAGGTATACTTTATATTTAATTATCTCAAAACAGTTCAACTTATAGATTTTTTTTTTAACAAAAAACTGTGATTGATATTGATGATTGCATTAATAACTTTCAATTATTATTTTTTTGGTAGTTAGAAAATTACAATTCAACTAATAACTCATTACGGGTCAAATTATTTTATTTAATTTTCATTCATATGAATTAGAATTCAACTATACTTGAATGACACACTAACTCTATTCAAACTTAAATAGCACCATGCATGGAATATAGAACCACGAAAACCTCTTTTGCTTGACTAAGAATATTGTGGTCTTTTTTTTTTTCCTCAAAATATTGAAATCTAGACTGGTCATTGAACTACTTATCTAGAACTAGAATACAAGCTTGGCTTGATAAGCTGCTTATTTAAGTCAATTTTTATAAGAGTTTAGGTTTGAAAAATCAGGAGCTTTTAGCATAACTATATTTCTAAGATTGGCCCTGTAAAAATAGGCTTGAGCGGTCCATTTAAGCTTCTTTTTTTTTACCTTTGAAAATTAAAATATTTTCAATTTGAGATTTACATTCTCTAAAATAAATATTTATGTGTTTATGTGAAATTTTCTTTTTTTTTTAGTATTCTGCTCATTTTATTATTTTTTGTAACAAATAAAATATTTCCTTTTTATTAAAAAATACAAAATTCATGAGACTTGCAAATGCTTAATTAAATCCGAGAATTTGATATAAGCACACATACATACCCTTGATTCTTTTTCAGTGTATATCACTCTTTGGTTGATTGGCATTTATTATATCGTGATTCTTTTCTTATGATTACTGACTTATCTACAATCTTGTTTTGATCACGCAATATTTTTGTCAGGAGGTATGGTTCTCACAATGAATATTTATCTTCGTCACTCCAGGCCCCAGCGAATCACCCTGAATTACTCTCTTCTCAGCATGAGAATATTCCTCTGATCAATTTTTTATCAACAATAAGATTCTTGGTCCTTGTTTTAATATGTACAATTA